CAGGCCAGCGCTCCCCCGCCCCCACCCCCACCGCAGACTGTGCCCACTCCAGGTCCAGGTGCCAAGGATGACAGCAGCATGTCTCCTTCAGGTAGGAGCAGCAGCGGGCATGTGTCACATTTAGATCCTCAGCACATGAGTAATTCCCAGGGTCCACCTCTGTAGGGTGGCACCTAAGCTGGGTGGGGATTGGAGAGGGACCGGTGCCTGGACCCAGGACCCAGGACCTCCTGAGCTCAGGCTTCACCGAAGTCCCGGCTCCACCAGCTTGGTTCCACTTCAGGAACAGCCCCTCCTCACAGCCAGCTGTTGAGGGCTTCTCTGGACCCTAGAATTGTGGGCCGGGCAGGGCTGTCCCACAGCCTAGCCCTGCCTGAGCAGCCTTCCTTCCCCACACCCAGCTCCAGTCCAGGGGGCTCCCAAGGAAGTAGTGGACCCCTCCAGTGGCCGGGCCACCCTGCTGGAGTCTATCCGCCAGGCTGGGGGCATTGGCAAGGCCAAGCTCCGCAGTGTCAAGGAGCGCAAGCTGGAAAAGAAGAAACAGAAGGAGCAGGAGCAAGGTGAGGGGACCCTACACCCCTCCAGTAGGGCTCTAAGAAAAGGGCCGCCTCTTTAACCACCACCAGACTCCAATAGGGTGCTCCTTGCCACCCAAGTGTCCAAACTCCTGCCCCCTATTCCCCAGGGTGTTTGCTGTAAACCCTGGGTGGCCACCCTAACATCCTTGCCTCTGGGGGAGGGTTCCTGCTGGGGTTTGGAGCCTGCTTTCCTCTCTAAGCTGGTAGGGGCCAAACAAGAGAAAATCTCCTACCCTGCCACTTGTCTGAGGAAACGGTCAGGACCCGAGATACTTGAGAGACAGAGGACCTGGACCGATGGCTCAGTCCTGCTTTTCCAAGCCCCTTGAGGCCACAGATTACTTCTGTGATGCTTGCATCAATATAACACCTGGCATAAAGCAACTGTGTCCTGGATGTCAACAGTCCTGAGCTTGAGTCCTCGCTTTGCTTCTGAGCTTTGCACTGTGACCCAGGCAAACTGCCTAACGTCTCTGAGCTGGTTTCCTCATCCATACTGTGAGCTGCTAATTCATGCCCTGTCTCAGGGTGGCTGTGACAGTGTTACTCAAATGTTACCCATTTTTCTCATCAGTGCCCTGGTGCTGGATCCAAGAGCTGGTGGTAACATGATGGCTGTGGGGGCCTGGGGTGTGTCAGTCGTGAAGAAAAAGAGGACAAATGTGACTAAACCCTGAGGTTGTCACCCAGGAACAGGTTTCACACTGGTCCCTTCCTCCTCCCTCACCCATGGTTTTCCTGTTGCAGTGAGAGCCACAGGCCAAGGCGGCGACCTGATGTCGGATCTCTTTAACAAGCTGGTCATGAGGCGCAAAGGTAGGACAGAGCACTACTGCTTCCCAAGGCCAGGGATTGGGGTGTGTCATACACACTCTGCCTTTTTCTTACTGTTTCTAAGACTTTAGGGGCTGGGTGAACTGGTTCCCCAAAAACCCCTCTCACCCTCCACCTTTTCCCTCCCAGGCATCTCTGGGAAAGGACCTGGGGCCGAGGCCAGCGAGGGGCCAGGAGGAGCCTTCGCCCGAATGTCAGACTCCATCCCGCCTCTGCCTCCCCCGCAGCAGCCACCTGGAGAGGAGGACGAGGAGGACTGGGAATCCTAGGGGCTCAGCAGCTCCTTCTTCTCACCAAACCCAGGCTGAGGCTCTTGCCCTCACATGGAAACAGCTGGGATGGGCTCCTTGGCCTGCAGATCTCTCAGCCCCTGCTGCCCTTGGAGGGATGGGGGTCACAGAGGACTACCCAGGTCTGTGCCTGGACCATCTTCAAGGAGCAGGGAGGCTGGCTTCTGAGGGTGGTGGGAGGGGGCCTTCGCTTTCTGCTTGTGCTCCACCCACCTCCTTCACTAGCATGCTCCTCTATTCCCTGAGACTGAGGTACAGCAGTACACGAATCAATAAAGAAATATAACTGAGCATCAACCAACAGTGCACTTTTAATTAAGGAACTACAGCTGTGCAGAAATGCAAACATCTCCAAGCCAAGGCCTGTCCTGCTCCCCCTGGTCTCAGGCAATGGGGCAAGGTGCCGAGTGGACCAAGCCCCCTTTCTCTGGGGCCAGGGAAGAGAGGTATAGTCAACAGGGCAGCTGTTGCAGATGGAGGGAGGGATATTTTCACACAGAAAAAGTGTCTCAGTGACAGACAGTGTCTCTAAAAATAGTCCTGCTGAGAGCCTAATGGCCCTTGGTGTAATTGCTGATGCCAGGGGAAGAGGTATCTTGGAGTTTGCTCAAGTGGCTGAGAGGGAGAGAGGCCCCACTGACTGGAGAGACCTGGAACCAGCCCAGGAGGTAGCATGCTGTGGAGGGCTGTGGGACAGGTTAGGGGCCAGCAGGCGGGGAGCACCGCACAGGGCTCTGCTCCCACTTCCAAATGACTTCAGTGCCTGACTTGTCAGAGATGGTGCTTAATCCCCAGGTGGCAGTGGGTCAAAGTAACCAGAAGCCAGAGGGCAGAAGAGCCCAGGACACCAGGGGCTGGAAATGGGGAATATTCTTAATTTGGAGGGAAAAGTAAAGGTCTAGAACACTAATTTTAGCTAAAAGGGGAGAGAAAAGGGAGAGGCAGGAGAGGCCTGCTCCATCTTGCCTCTGAGAAAGTGGGTGCTGAGAAACGAGCGCGAGTAGATGCTGAAGTGGAAGGTGCAGCTTCCACAGCTGCCCAAGTGGCTGGGGGTAGGCTCAACTGGGTGTGGTGAACAGGAAGAAAGACCCAATTTCAGGGAGGGGAACTGCCCTGGGACGGGCTCAAGGATGGCCAGGAGCCACTGCTTGTTCAGGATCGACCTAATTTTCGCCTACTGGCTTCTGCACCTGTTCCTGGATCCTGCAACCAGGGATTCCACAGGGGCTGGTCTGCATTCCAGATGGGTGCAGCCGTCCCTCAGGAAAGGCCAGACTTCTCGTGATGAAACTGGGGAGACAGGGAAAGACAGTGAGACACTAGGTGGGGATCTTGGTGGAAGTGTTCTCAGGAAGGAAAAGGCAGGACTGACCTTCCGCAAAGCAGCAAAGGCAGGGCCAAAGGTGGCTTTGACCTCCACACGGTCTCGGATCCAGGCTGGCAGCTTTGCCAGGATAGGTGGACGGGCGTACCGCTGGTCCAGGAGCACTATGCTGGCAAAATCCTTCTGGTGCCTGATGGCTCTCCCTGGATGGGACAGGTTGGGGCTCTGATTAAACCCGACAGTACGTTCTACTGTGTCCCTTTCCCCTCCTCAGACCTCAGACTAGAGAGATGGTAAGTAAAATCCCATCCTGTCACCTCACTCCTCATCCATTCCTCCCCAACTATTCATCCAGGGCCAGTCCCCGGCTTACCTATAGATTGGTTGACAGCCTTCATACATAGATTCTCCACCAAAGCCTTTCCTGGGGGGGCCTGACCTGGGGTTCGGGGCTGGGAAGCGCAAAGGAGATGACCTATCAGAACTGTTTCTTGTCCCCTGCCTAGTGTTCTGAGAAAACGACACTGCCAGGCTCTGAGCAAGACCAGTCGGCTTCACAGGCACAATGCCAACAGCTGATAGAATGGATGATGTCCTGAGAAGCTCAAGAGCAGGGGTCCTCAAACTTTTTAAACAGGGGGCCAGTTCACTGTTCCTCAGACCGTTGGAGGGCCGGACTATAGTTTAAAAAAAAAAACTATGAACAAATTCCTATGCACACTGCACATATCTTATTTTGAAGTAAAAAAACAAAACGGGAACAAATACAATATTTGTATTTGCATGTGGCCCGCGGGCCGTAGTTTGAGGACCCCTGGTGTAGAGGGTATGGAGGATGCTGCCATTCCCTCCAGAGCACACAGCAGGGGCAGTGGGGAAGTCACAGCCTATCTTAGCCCTAGAGCAGGGGTGGGCAAACTTTTTGACTCGAGGGCCACAGTGGGTTCTTAAACTGGACCGGAGGGCCGGAACAAAAGCATGGATGGAGTGTTTGTGTGAACTAATATAAATTCAAAGTAAGCATCATTACATAAAAGGGCACGGTCTTTTTGTTGTTTGTTTTATTCATTTCAAACAGGCCGGATCCGGCCCACGGGCCATAGTTTGCCCACGGCTGCCCTAGAGGCTACAGCGCTCTCCCCCCTCCCGCCCATCCTCCAGAACCTGAAGGTACTCACAAGGGTGTGGTCCAGGTAGGCCATTTTCTCTTGGAGCTCTGGAGACTTGATGTTGGGGTAGGGCAAGCCCACCATAACCACACACCTGGGTGGAGGCACACAGGAGCCAAAGGCACCTGGGGTTCACAAGGCCCAGGGCGAAGGGCCGGGTCCTCACCCACATGACAGCTGCTGCGTCTACCACTCCAGTTCTCAACTGTGCTCAGTGGCTCTCCCTCTCCCTCCCCACCCTATACCACCTGGAAAGGGGTTTTTCAGCTAAAAGAGCCAATCTAGGCCAGGGAATTGAGTTCTGACAAAGTTACCATCTGCCTAATTTTCCACCTGGCCTCAGGGGCCACACCCAAAGCTGCGGAATCACTTCCCCATGCAGCTGACTGTGCAGTCAGCCCAGGTGCAGACTCGGGTGGCAGCAGATTGCAGGGGGAGGGAGGGCTGCTTGGAGTGAGGGGTAAGTGGGGATCAGAGTCCCGGGAGATGGGAAGCCCACTACTTACCGCCCGAGGTCATCAGAGAAGTTGATGCCTTCACTCATCTTTCCTCCAACCACCGAAAGCAACAGGGCCCCATTCACCATGCCTCCTGCCTGGCCATGGCACTGCAGGAACAGCGCAAAGCTGGGACGCCATCCGGAGGGTTTCAGCTGCCAACCCCACAGGTCTGGACCCAAGGCCTGGGTTCCAGCTCTCACCTGAATGCACCTGGAATACTCTGTCAGCACCTGTTCCACCTGGTTTGCTCGCTTGGGTTCCTGAAATATCTGAAAGTAAACAGACATCTCCCAGAACAGGGTTTCAGGATGCCTGGCTCATAGATCTGCTCCAGACCTTGTTTTCCATCCTGGGCTTTGGGGACTCCTCTGGGAAGTGACCAGGGATTAGAAGTGGTGGGAGACGCCCCCATATGGGAGGCCCAACCACCCAGTTTGATGTGCAGGAGAAATCCCACGGGAATTCTGGGTCACCATCCCCAGAGTGGAAGGTCTAGCTGAGGGGTCACTTACCTTTTTCCTGACAGCCAGGCGGGCGAGCAGGCCACTCTTATCCCAGTGGGCATGGACCTGGCGTTGGTACTCATAGGAGGGGAAGAAACAGATCACCCCTCCAGGCACCACGTTGCACAGGTTACAGAGGATGCGACCTGTCTCGTCCATCTAAGAAAGGAAGACGAGCCCCTCCATGGGGCCACTCCTGAAGCCACACCCAAAAAAATCTCCTAACCTTAGGGCTCAGAACCAAGTACAGAGACTCACGGGTGAGTGCGGTCAGGGAGGCCTATGGCCAGGTGGCGCCCCTTGGCTGGGAATCACAGATTGGAATGTGCCACCCTCCCTCCAAACACACTCCACTGCTGCTCCTGGTGCCTGGCAGCATCTGACACACCGCAGTCCAGCACACTGAGCTGCACCTGTTACTGGTGTGCCAAGTCCTCCTCCCCAACTCCCAACGTCCTGTGGGCAACTGGAGATTAGGCACCATCTATGACAAATCGGGCACTGGAAACCCAGGCATGCCACTAGAGAAGTGCCCCTAGTACTGGCATCCCTGCTAGGCAGGGCTCGATATGACCCAATGACAAAAGGAAATGGTTTCTCATGAACTTCATCCTAAAGAGATGGCTGGAGGTGTCAAGAAAACTATTTTTAAAAATTCTCACCCAAGGACATACCTTTCATTGATTCTTTAGAGAGAAACATTGATTGGTTGCCTCCCATACATGCCCCCACCAGGGATTAAACTTGCAACCTGGGTTTGTGCCCTGACCGGGATTCGAACCCAGGACCCTTTGACACACAGGTCGATGCTCCAACCAACTGAGCCACAGTGGCCAGGACAAGAAAAGTTATTTAGCAGCCTCAGAGGTGAAGGGTGCGGGGAAACTCAGACCTTCCTGATAAACACCTAGACTATTCATCCTGTGCCACTATTCATCCTGTACCAGCTGTGATGAGGACCAGTACTAACTTCCACAATGCTTCAACACTCGGGATTGGCCAGCATGTCCCCACCCCAGAAATCTCTCTCCTGCCCTAGCAAAGGCCAAGGTGAGGCAGGATGGCTGGTACTAACCATCTGAGGCAGCTCTCTTTTCAGGTATGTGAATTCCAGCTGCTGGTTGGAGGGCCCACTGCAGAGGACGAGGGGCAGGATGTTGTCTGGAGGGATCACGTGACCTGGGGAGACCCAGAGAGAGGCTGAGAACTGGAAATGCAAGGCTGAGTCCAGAAAAAGCACTACTCAACCCTTGCCTTCCAGACCAGGAGTAGCGGTTTCTATCACTTACCCACCCACCAGTTTCCACACTAAAACAGCAATGCTCAGAACTCTCCCAGGTAGACAGAGGGGGCACAGAGCATGAGAGCATGGAGATGGCAAGCTCAGAGAGAGCTGGCAAAGGATGAGATGCCCATCCGTGTTTCCTCAGCCCCGGAGGCCTGATAACAGCACATGGTTCAACTATGACAACACGGGGTCATAAGTGACTATGTGGCCCATTCAACCCTGGACATGGATCCTCACCACAGGAAAACTCCACCAGTCGCTCGGCTTCCACCCCAGCACATGTCAGCAGCTGCTCCCGAAAGTCAGAAACCTGAAGACCACAACGTCAAGGCTCTGTGACCTCCCTGAGGTCCGGGGAGAGGACCTCAGGTCTGAGCAGGCAGGGGCCTTAACAGAGAAGGGAAGAGAGAATCGCTTGGAAAGACAGAAGTCTGGGTGAGGAGGCAGCAAATACATAAGAACAGAGAAGAGGTAAAAAGAAAAGCTGATAAGAAATTAGCAAAAGGATAAAAC